GTGTTTATTCAATTCTATTCAAATTTTTATACCTCTTAGAAAAAGGTTTCTTTTTTTTAGAAAATCATGTGCCTTTTTTCTATATTTATTTTTTATTCCTATTGAGAATAGGAATGTGAATCTGTTATATTATCTAGTGAGTTATTACTCACTAGTGTACACTATTTTTGGCAAGTGTACACTATTTTTCAATAAGCTATCTTAATTTTGTTCTTGACTTTAGTTGTTTCCATTTTTTTCTCTTAAAATAAAATTAAGATAATTTGTTTTATCTTTTTTTAATTTTATGTCTTGTTTATTTTTTGTGTGTATGATTCCTTGTTCTGGAAGTTATTGGTCAATTCAAAGACATTTTGAACAGATACTGTAATAATTAACTGTGTCATTTCATTCTTGAGCATCTCAGACTGTTGGTTTAATATTAGATCTTTTTTCCTTTCTAATATCCATATTTAATGCTACAAATTTCCCTCCAAGTACTTCTTTTTCTGTATCCCATAAATTTTGATAGGTTATATTTTAATTTTCATTAAGTTAAAATTATTTTTTTGACTTCTCCTGAGACTTCTTTGACTCTTGAGTTATGTAGGAGTGTGCTGTTTAAAGTTGAAATATTTGGGGATTTTCCATTTATCTTTCTGTTGTTGATTTGTAGTGTCATTCCATTGTGATCTGAGAGCATACTTTATTTGATTTCTACTCTTTTAAATTTGTTATTTTATTTTTATTTATTTATTTATTTATTTATTTATTTTTTGCTGTTCTTGAGTACAAATATGTCCTTATTTTCTGCCTTCTGGATCTATCTGTTTCTAATAGAAGGTGTTGGAGTCATTTTAAGACACTTTGAGAACCACTTGTGCTTGTCTGTATCTTAAGGAGAGGAAATATTCTGTGGCACACAGTGTTGTAAGGACAAGTGTGATTTCTCTGCTCTTCCTGCTCTGTGGAAGTTTCCTCAAAGGTCCCACCTTCATCCTCTCCTATGTTTCCGGTCCCTAGCACTCAGGAACTTCTAGAATAGACAATGTCTGCTGGCACTCATGTGCACCCATATCTGTGCTAATCCATCCAGTGCAGAATAATTGTCTTTGTCTTTTAGGTTAAGGAGGTCTCCCTCCCAAAGTATGATTTCAAGATTCACTGTGGCAAGTTTCAATGCAATAAGATAATAAAAATGGAAGGTCTTACTGCACTGTAGCTTTGTCTCCTGACCCAGAGCCGTGGAGATCCCCTAAGGTGAACGGGCTGTCCTCCAGGGGTGATAAATCCAGCCTTGGGACAATGAGCACACAGCGTACTAGCATCTCTGGAATTTGGAGTCCCATGGAATTTAGTTTGACAAAATCCACATTTTTCCTCTGAACATTGGCAAATCTACTCATTATGGTTTTGTTTGTTTGTTTGTTTGTTTTTTTGCCAAATACACGTGTCTATGAATTTGAATAAAGCATACGACAATAGCATATTCACAACTATGCTACATCCCTTCTTATGATAAAAATCTTATCTCCTAGTTCCTGAATCCCAGCTTCATATACCTCTGGAGGCCCAATCTAATCAATGCATCCTTCTTGCTATGGCACTTGGGCTCTTGGGCAACATGAGCTGTGGACCATATGACCCAAGCAATTAATAAGGTTTTTCCTCCAATATCTCTAAGTTGTTGAAAAGTATACAAATAAGACTTAATTGGTCACTAAGGCAATAGGCAATTAGCACTGGGAGATGAAGCAGGCAGGTTGTGCTGATGCCATTTAGGGGAGATGAAGAATGACACCTTTTGCCTTCCCTGCTATTAGCAGCTGACCTGCACTCAGACTGCACCTCCTCTGGAGTCATCCTGTCCTATCCCACTTTCTCACATCACTGAGCTCAGGTCACCAATGCCAAGGTAGCTTCTGGGAGGAGGGTAGAAGGTGTGGAAGCGCATGCATGAATGTGAAACCTGAGTCATGATCCCTTCGTGTGGTAATCTGTGTGTCTGCAGCAGCTGGTAGAACTGATCACGTCCTCTTCCCAGACACACTTTCTCACGGGAGCCCCCAGGGTTTGGCATGTGCTTTTCTTCTTGTCTCTACCTCTAATGCTCATTTCGTGGTGTCTCCTAGTCTCTTGGTTTGAAATACAATTCCTATGAAGAAGATCCCCAAACTTTTATCTCCAGGTCCACTTGAAATCCACTCATATGTCCAAATGCACACTTAACATCTCCGCCTGGACACGGAATCTGCATGTCCCATTTAACATGTCCCCATCGGAACCCAGCTACACCTGCGGCAGTCACGGCCTTACTTAGGTGCTGGAAACTCCAGCAATGGCTTCTTATTTCCCCAGACTGGAAACCAAAGTCCGCAGGGCAGCCTTCCAGGCGGGGCATTTGGTAGCCCCTCTGAACTTACCTCCAACAGCTTTCACCCCTGGAGATCTCAGCAGAGCCTCACAGGTGTTGGCGATGCTTCGTGAACATTCCAGGATTTCCCGGCTGAAGTTTGTCCAGTAGCTATCTCTCTCCTGGGAATGCCCACTGCATACAATAAAACAAAATCACTCATTTTGATACTTTTGAAAATGTAATCACCCATGTAATCAGGACCACAGTGGTCACTTTTGTCTCCCTCTATAAGGTCAGAAAGTGCAAGGGTCTTTGTCTGCTCTGCCAGTCAATACAGCCCTACAGCCTCGAGTGGCATCTTGCAGGTGATAGTCGCCTGATAAATGTTCATTGCCTGGATGAAGTAGGATGACTTTCCCACATTGTTCCAATTCTTGCCTTGCCCTTACTTCTCTGTAGGGGTAATTTTAACAATGAAAGAAATATTGCATTTGGCTAAAAAAAAAAAGGTCCTAAAATGACTTCCTTTAAATTAATAACTTAAAGAAGGATGAAAATTATCTTGCCACTGGTTCTTTTAATAAAATAGATTTTCAAATATTACCAGGTCAGTGATATGATGGGAAAATACTAGTGCTTTCATTTATTAAGGAGTACGGTGGATATCATTATTCATGGACTGCATATTTGTGAGTACACCTACTTGCTAAATTCATTTGTAACCACCATATCAACATCCATGGCACTTTCACAGTCTTTTGAAGGCACAGAGCAGTGAAAAATTTGAGTAACCCAACAAAAAAACGAGCTGGGGCTGAACAAGCTGATGCTCTGTCTTCCTGTTTCAGCTCTCATACCCTAAACAAGTGTCTTTCGCACAGTATGTGTAGTGCCGCCTGCTTCAGATCTTGGTACTTTTTTAAAATGGTTTTGCTGTTTAAAGTTACCCGCAACATAGTGCTAAAGTGCTTTTTCGTGTTTTAGTGTAAGAAGACTGTACGGTGCCCTGCGGTGCCCTGCTAGCTCAGGCTCTGCACCTTCCCAGCCCCCATGAAACACCCAGATGGGGTGTCACGGACTAGCCTTGAAACTGCTTCCCTAGGCGCTACTCTGCAGTATTTGTGTTGTGGGAAACCAAACTCTCTCCCGGAGCACCTTAGCACTCTGTTGGAATGTTGGACTATTTTTGAAATTGAAGTGAAACAAATGCTTTTCTGAGAGCCTTGGAAATGAGAAGTGAGCCATCACAGCCACTGTGACTTGGGGCACCCTCAGTCTCTCCTCACAGAGGCAAACGTCTGGTCCCCAGGTCACTCAGGACATGAGGGTTTACCACAACTCTGCAACCACACGGGGTGGTCCTTATCCTGGCTCCAGCTTTGGGGAACATTAGGCAAGTTGACTTGGCCTTCTGTGCCTTGCTTCCCCATCCGGGAGTTGGGTACAATGATAGTATCTATCTCCTAAGGTCTTCATGGAAGTGAAGTGAGTTAAGACATGCAATGCACATAGAATGTGCCCATTACATGTTAGTCATTATTCTGAGTAAGGTCTGGTTTTGGTAAGGAGGTGTCAAATTCCTCAAATTCAGGATGAGATGCAATATTTATGCTTTTTGACACAGTAAATAAGACTCCACCAAGAAAGTCTTGACTCCACTCTCTAGTGGACTGTGCAATAGTCCTAAAGCAAAAAGGGAGAAATAAAACATTCTATTTCGCCTCTTTTCCTGGCTCTGAGAAAGTCAAGGTAATATTGATAATCTTCATCCAAGTAAAATTTTAGCTAAAAAAAAAAAGTCCATTTAGAAAATATGTTTTTAATATTATGTCAATATGATTTAGTGTGACACTGAATCATGTGGCCTCTCAAATCCAAAACCAAAGGGCAAGGTTTAGAAACAAATCATCTTTTTTAACTTTCTGAAGATCATAACCGTTTAAAGACTTTAAGGAAAACAGGTATTAAGAGAACTAGTAGCTAACTTCATTTTAACTAATTATATTATTTTTAAATGATCAGGAAATTAACTTTAAACTATTCATTATTGAAGCAGACTGAATCGATGTTGACTATCATTCTATATGTGACCATTAAAAGACTCGGTTATAACTACAGCACAGTAGCATTTTTCTGGTTTATAAATACATTGATGAAAGCAGATGATTGTCTCCTTTCTCACTACAAGTGGGTATGAAAGTAATATTCTAGTGTATTCCAGAAGCCAGGCAGTCTTGTAGGTGGAGTTTACACTTTGACTTTGTCCCAAATCACAAAGTATGAAACCGTGCATTTCCTAGAATGCTTTCCCCAGGCCCAAGGCCTTCACACTGAATTTGACCATCAGTTTTTTTCTAAGCTTGAGTTATCTTTTCTGACAAAGCACCTTTATCAGCCGTGGAGAGTGGGGGTTCTGATAGTTAGCTTGGTGAGTAATTACCTACATAATGTGGGCAGCAGAAGAATTGGGACCGCTTCATCTTTCATTCTCCTTTTTTCTTCAGTTGCTTACATTTCTCACATTATTTTATATTTTTATTATTATAACTTTCTTCAGATAAAGCTATTTAAGTCTTAAGGTGAATAGATACTATCCTAGAGGTTAATGAATTGTAAAATTCAGCTCAGTCATTATTCCTGACATCTGTGTTTATCATTAAAACAGGAAGAAATCATGACAAAGTTTTAGTCACTAGCTTCAAGAAGCATCCAAGATACTTGGAGGATAAAATCAGAGAAACACACACATCTCTGAGATCCTCACTATGGTGCGATGAAGGCCATAAGGAACGTGTAGAGCAACACACTAGGGGCTGAGAAGATCTGGAGAGACCTGGTTTGGGCCACCTGGTGGAAAAGCAAAAGCAGGTTCATCGAAGAGGTGGGACCCTTGGTGACTTTGGTGTCAGGGTGGGAGTGTGACAGTAGACAGAGGGGATAGTGGTACCTAAAGCCATAGCAGGAGCAATAGAATGTGAAAGGAGTGTGCTCTGGCATTGGGGAGTTGGCCAGTCTGATTGGAGCAAGAATATATGAAGGGAAATAAACAGTGGAAATCAGTTTGGAAAGGTAGATGGAGAGTCTGGAGGGCTGCTAGGGGCTTCTCCTTAATGAAGTGAGCCTCGGGGAGCCAGAAGAAATTCTAGAGCAGGGGAATGGTGAGCCCAGACCTCAGAAGCGCTTCCGTGGTAAACAAATGTGGGATACAAATGGGGGAACAGAGGATACCTTTGCCTTGCTGGGGAGCACTGAAGGGGGTATGTTAAGGTTGTCATTACAAATGTGGCAAATGATGCAACTTGGCCACAGCAGTATCCGAAACTTGACCTTGTTAATGTGAATTCAGTCAACAGCAGGGCAGGAAGGAAGGAGGCCTTGTAATAAGTGGCAGGTTTGCCATGCCCCGAAATTCCCCAAATTCATACTGTCTTTACTCCTGAGAAACAGTCACGGCTTAAAGAAACTTCAGCATCACTCCATAAATGTAAACACGTGTACTCACTACTGCCCTTACCTAAATGATTAACAAAAAGAGTTATATGACACAATTTTAGAGAATATTATTATTTACAAATTTTACAGAAATTAAATTTTAGGTTTTATTACAGAAAAATACTGTGCAAATGATGACGTCCATTTCAGGGGCTAGGGTGCTGGTAATAAAGTCATTACTGTGCCCAAAGCAATTGAACAAAAGAGAAAAGCCAAAGAATATACTAGGAAATTGGCTTATGATAAACAGCAAGGAAAGAATGGATTATGGAACAATTGTTAGAACAGTTGACTAGATGTTTAGAGCAAAAAGCTGGATTTCTTTTTCTCTCGGTATACCAATACCTTTGACGGACTCAAAGACTTAAATGGGTAAGGAAAAGATTAAAAGACTACAAGAAAACATGGGACACGGCATTTTACAAAAGAAGAAATAAAAGTTAACAATACATATAAAATGCAAACAGCTAAAACAAACACATGAAGACAGATCAAATTGGCAAGACTAAAACTTCAAAAGACAATCTTATTTTTGAAGTAACGCAGAAATGAACAAACAGCATTGGTCCTGGGGGTGTAAAATTGGTAGAAATTTATAGTGAGCGTGTTAGCACTTGTTAGTCTCCTTTGTTAACTTGGCTGGGGTACAGTAGCCACTTGTTTAATCATACATCAACCCAGGGGATGCTGTGAAGGCATTTTACAGATGTGGTTAACATCTATAATCAGTTGACTCTAAGGAGATTATCCTCAACGATGTGGGTGGACCTCCTCCCATCAATTGATCATAAGTGTAAAACTGAGGCTTCCTGGAGGAGCAGTTCTGCCTCAACATTGCAGCCCAAATCCTGCCCGGGCTTCCAGTTCTCTGCCTACCCTACAAATTTCAAACTTGCCAGATTTTAGACTACCAAAACCTTGTGAGCCAACACCTTAAAATCTGTCTCTCTTTTTCTCTCTCTCTATGAATATAGATTCTATTTTTCTGGAGAATCCTAATGGAGACCACTCTATATATCAGAATTGAACTTGTACAACTCTGTTCTATGACTTTAACTCATGTAGCTTATTCTACAAGTTAGAAAAGACACATGTTCAAGAATATTGAATTTTGTGTTTTGCATATTGAAACATTTGACAACAACCCCAATGTCCATTTCCTAAGGGTTGGTTAATAGTTATGCAATAAAAAATCAAGTAGTCATTAAAATAACATCTCAAATTTGTTTTAATTAATGTTCTGTGTGGTCGTTGGCATTTTTTTCTTCTTTCCATTCTTCTAATGAAAGGAAACCCTCCTTTGCACAGAGAATAAAAAAATCACTCTGCTTAGGTCAGAATTTCCCCCAGGCTGCAGAGATGCTCCCAGCTGGCTTCTGGACATATGCACCTCAGAGTTAACAGATGGAAGAGCAAACTCATCTTTAATACATTTTCTCCCCCACATATTCCAATGGATCCAATCACCCAATAGCAAAATCGAGGAATCAGCCTTAATTTCTCCTGTCAGTGCATCTCCAAGCACAGACATGCAAGCATCTACACCCCTTCAACCCATGCTAGGTGCTGGTCATTGTATCTCCAGTACTTTCTTCATAGTCCTTTCTTTTCTTCCTCTACCAACCCTAACCAGGACAAGACAATAATAATTTCCCAGGGGCATAATTTTAATACGTTGTTCCCGGATATCCCTGCTTACGTTTAATAGTTTTCACATTGCAGACAAAATTCTCTCTAAAATAGCATTTGAGGATGGGCATGGTGGCTCACACCTGTAATCCCAGTACTTTGGGGAGCCGAGGAGGGATGATTGCTTAAGGCCAAGAGTTCAACACCAGCCTTGGCAATAGAGAGATACGATCTCTACAAAGCAAATTTAAATATTAGCTGGCCATGGTGATGCACACTTGTAGTCCCAGCTACTCAGGAGGCTGAGGAAGGAGAATCACTTGAACCCAGGAGTTCAAGGCTGCACTGAGCTATGATTGCACCACTTCACTCCAGCCTGGGTGGCAATAAAAATAAATAAAAAATAAAATAAATGGCATTTGATTGTGTTGCTCTCTTGTCATTTATTACTATTATTATCATTATTTTAATCTTCAAAAGTCCTCCCACTATTTATATACTACAGAGGCCAAATTCCACAGCCCAGAACCTAGCTCTCTATATTCTGCTCGAGACAAGCTTTACAGTTTCATCTCCTTCTGTCCCCCTGTTGCCTCCTAAGTCCACTGTGCATTACTCCTGGAGTCACTCCTAACTGTGCTATGGTGGCTTCCAACCCCTTGTCTATGCACATGACATTTTATGTGCCAATAATACGGCCAGTCTATTATGAGTCTTATCAGTCTCTGCTTATTCAAGTCCCTGCTCCAGTAGACACTTCTGTGATTCTTCTTTCAGCATCATGAGTAGAGCTGACGACCACCTGCTTCATGTGTCTTATGATCTTGTATAAACCCTGTCACAACCCTGTCCCATTGTAATATCCACCTGCTCCAAATAGACCAGGCTTGTAAACAGTAGGACCCGGGACTTTCTCCAGAACCTAGCCCTACACCTGCGGGAATAGCTGTGTTCATTTGGATTCCACTTAAAAGTAGACTCAGAAATAAGATATTAAGTGCAAGAGGTTAGTTTTGCAAATGATTCCACAAAAAGCACAAGACAGGGAATAGGGAGGTGAGGCATGGGAAGAAAGAAAGCTATAAAGGTGTAGTAATCAGTGGGTCATGTTGGAAAACAGCTGGGATTAAATTGCACAGGACCATTGGTCCATCTAGAATGTTCCTCAAGGTAGTTGGGGTATTATTTAATAATTCATTATTTCCCTCTAATATTTCATTGTTTGAAGGTTGTCCTTATCCATCTGGACTGCCCTATTTTCAAGCTGAATAAACTCTTGCAGCATGAGAGAAAGACCTCAGACTAGGAAAAAGAAAGATATAGGGGTTGGGGATAGAAGCTATAAGGGTACAGAGTACCATCTGCCACAACTCCAGGTAAACGCAGAGAGGGTTGACAGGTTACAGGGTAGGGGATCAACAGTATTGGCCACAATAAAGACGGTACCAAGTTTTGTTGAATGAATGATTAAAAATGTGCAATAGACTGTGCACAGTGAGAATAGTTTTGACTAGGTGATGGGTTTTGGAGTGAGTTCTTAACTAGTGATTTTATTTAATAATATTTATGATTTTATAATTGAAAACAGAGAAGCATATTCTGCAATGTGAATAATATTCATTGAATTTTGGAAATATAGAACTGAAAGAGCTTTTTGAGGCTACACTGTCTACCTGCTTGGTGCCTCTTCCCCGATTACAAAAGTAGCATTCATTGTATTCCTCACAAACGGTTTTCCAGCCCACTTGTGAATACAAGTGTTAAGAGCTTGAACTTCATGTGGTGTTAGGAAAACTTCGTTGTTTAAGAGTTGTTCTCATAATACACTAAATCTTATTTTGCCACATCTTACACATTTAGCTTTTGGGATCAGTCCAAATGAGAGTGGCTTTCAATTATATATGACCTCCTTAGATGCCGGAAAGAGCAAATGCAGTCTGCCCTATGTTATCTGACATTGCCCACAGCTTCAACATCCACAGACTGTTCACGTGGGGCCCCACTTTTCCCAACACGTTCCATTTTGTCCCTGTACCACACAAACATAGTGTCAAGGACGGCCCACAACGCTCTAAAACCTAAGCAGGACAAAGTGTGAGGTGTGGCAGAGAGTATGAGATGTTTCTTTGCCAAGTGCTCTGATCACGATGCTGGAATGATGCCAACTGTAGTAGCCTATTGGCGTACACACTTCGTGGGTCCAAACTGAACACGCAATCTTTGGCGGCTTATAATACATATAAAGTTACATTTCTTCTTGGCTTTCCTTGTGAAGTGTACTCATTACTGTGCTTCACAAGAATTCATGAGAATCTATTCTGTTCTGCCCAGGCACTGTGCCTGGAGTTAGAAATAGAGACAGACAGCACGTGGGCTGAGCCTGTGAGGTGCTGGCACTCTGGCTGGGCATCTAGATGCATCCACAGTTAGAGACTAAGGGAAGGGCTTAAGGGAAGGGCTCAACTGCAGTTACCAGCAAACTTCATCTAGGGAAAGAACGTGGAGTATGGTCTTGTGAGACTTTCCCAGTGTCATCTAATTTTGCAGGGTGCTGTGCTTACAGAAATTACACTTGAGCCGAGAGGAGAAAACATCCCAAAGTTTCTGGTTTTAAATATTCAGAGTATATACTTTGCTTATGAGGACTAAACTCTGGCCTTTTTCTTTTTTTCTTCGCTTTCCCAAATTCCTTTCTAAGAGACCTGATGAGTCACACTTTACAAACCATAAAATCTCATTAAATGGATTTTTTTATTAAGCCGGTATAATGTTGCTTACTTTCCAACCTGTTCTGGTATAGCATCACATGACTGATAGAAGACTTACTTATTTTTACTCAAACATTCCTTTCTACTGACTCCAAGTCTTTAGACAAAGCTTATTTCAACCAATTGCAACAAAAGAATCCTAAAATCCCCCTATGACTTGTAAGCCCCCACTTTGAGAAGCTCCTCCTTTTAGGCCTGAACCACTGTATACCTTCCATGTATTGATTTATGACTTTACCTGTAATTCTTGTCTTTATGAATGTTTAAAACCAAACTGTAACCCAGCCGCCTTGGGTGTATTATCTCAGGACCTCTTGAGACTATGTTCCCTGGGCCATGGTCACTCATTTTGGCTCAGAATAAACCTCTTTAAATATTTGGTTTTTCCATGGGTACTTCCAAGCCAACCTATGCTTAGCCATGGTGTCTAGAAAGAGTTTGCTTATTTCTGGATCTTCAGTGTGATTCTATTATTTAATAAAAATGAGTTATTAATAACAAAGCAGCTAATTATTAATGGGAGCAGTATGTAAAAGAAAAGTGTGAAATAATTTGCATCAATATTAACTTAAAAGGTAAAATTATAGAGATATTTATTTGTCTTAGTGATATAATGATTGGGTTGTCTTTAATGAACATATATTTAATATTATCTTAATAAATCAATAAAAATTTAGAAAAAATTGGAAAAAAAGAAAATTCAAAGATGTGGCCAGACAGTTGATGTTTTTCTACCATCCTGAGGTTATGGAAAGAAGTGGGACATGGAGCATGGCAGGACAGGTTATGGGAGGAGGAGAAGAGGAAAGTCCTGGGTCAAAGGTTGTTTTATTATGCATATACAACCACAAAGAGGCAGCTCTTAGAGGAAATAGATGGTTGCCAGTAGCAAATATTTCTGTTAGAACATTGAAGATGTCAGACTAGTTAATCCTGGTAAGGGGGCTTCAGAGAAAGCCTGTTTGCATCTGTTGTTTACTTCCTTTTCTTTCCTTTTCACATGCAAATCTCCCCCAGGAAACACAGCTTTGCAGAGCTACTTTCATGCACAGGTCCTCTGGACAGCCATCCCAAAATAAGTCATAGAAGTAATATTTTGGGGTTAAATATTTTTTTATTTCCTTCAGGACTATTAAAAACTCTTAGATTAGTAATGATAATAACAATAATAATAGTTACAAATTTACAGAGCAGTCTGATTATTCTTTATAGATATGGGGATTTGGGCCAAGTATTATTCTTGATACTTTATGAAGATGCAAAAATTATTCTAAGATGAGTATGATAAAATGCTAAAATGGAACTTCTGGCTGAAATGTAAATATCAAATTCCAAAGTTATTGCTTAGACAAGATTTACAAACCACATGGCCAAGAACTGGTTAGATGACTCAATGCAGAAGCTGGTGGGGCAAAAAAAAAAAAAGTTTGTGTGTGTGTTCTTGTGCTCCAAACCCATGGAGAAATGTTAAAGAAACAAAATTAAGATGCTTATGATCAAATCCTAATCCACCTGTTGTTCAGGAGAGAATTGACCTGGGGCCCCGAGACTCAACCTAGACTGTGTTGATCTTGCAGTTCTGGCCCAGCAGTTCCGGCCCAGAGTTTCAGTTTGTATTATTAAAAGAAAAACTTTAGACAAATTCAATTTAGCAGAGTTTAACCGAGCAAAGAATGATTCTCAATCAGGCAGCCCACAGAACGAGAACAGGTTCAGAGGAACTCTGATGCTGCCAAATGGGCAGATAATGTTTATGGGCAGAAAAAGCAAAGTGATGTACAGAAAATGAGAGTGAGGTCCACACAAAGCTGGGTTGGTGACAGCTTCCTTCACAGTTGCCTTATTTGAACATGATTTGAACAGTTGGCTGTCTCTGATTGGCCAGAGCCCAGCTGCTGTGATTGGCTGAGACTTGGCTCCTTGTTACAAGAGTGAGTTACAACTGTTTACACAGCTAGTTATGTTATAGTTCACTATATGTGGAGAAACATTTAGGCCAAACTTAAAATATGTAAGAAGGCAAATTTAGGCTAAATTTGATTGAACAGTATATCTGCTGTTAGGTCAGATGATGTGTTAAGTATGCTCATTGATTTTCTGTGTTCTGATACTTTGACATCTGGGTTTTGCTGACTCTCCAGGGGCTTTCCCTCTAAGGAATAGCTAATTCCTAAAGATAGTAAACAAGGTGCCTAGGAGTTTACTTTTCAAATACAAATCAGTCCATACAGTGCCCACATCCTAAGTACCTCCTCTAGGGCTGTCATACCCAGGGGCACTATCCACCTGCCCTAACCACACCATGGACAGGTACCAGACAACTAAGGGCAGTCCTTCTGCCCCAGAGCCCTGAAATTATTCAAACCTGAACGTTGACCATTCCTTCCTGCAGAAACTACAACAAAGCCTTGTGCCCATGCATTCCTCTTGCTCCTCCCACCTTCTGAGGGGCCCTGGTGCTTTCCTGCATAGCCCTGCATGGAGTGGGTGCCTCTCCTTTCGGGAACTGTGAGTAACAAACTGTCTCTGCAATGACAGTTGTCTCCCTATCTATTGGCCTTACTATCCCTCACATTTTCTATCAATACACTCTATTTTAAAGAAGGTGGAAAATGGATCATGGACCATTCAAGTCCACTGAGATGAACTAGTCCTGCACTCAACATATTCTCATCTCTAAACCAACCTACCTCATGGAGGAGGGGTGAAGTGAAACACCAATAAAGAAATCCTGAATACACATATAGTATAAAATAATGTTTAAAAGTTAATATGGTTATCTTAGCAAGGCCCCAAAATGAGGATCAGTACATTTTTTTGTAAGTAGTCACCACATATCTATGTGGTATTCTACTCTATACTCATTCACTCTTTTTTATGATTTCAGAAATCTGTAGTTATCTGTCTTGAAAACTCAAAGTTTCTTCTTTTGAGATGCTTTCATTTTCTATGATTTTTCATCCACTACTCACTGTTGTATCACATTTCTTTCTGGAACCTCATGGAAAGAGTCAAGCAGGTCTACACACTTGAATTGAATTTTCAGCTGTTGATTTCTTCATATCATTACCCAACTCAGGCTCCAATGGTCCACTTGAATGCTTGTTCCACCAGTTCCAGTTCAATAGCTAGCCCCGTTTCTAGAGAAAACAATATCCAGGTAGGAAGTCTGTCAGAGGGGCATATCCAGCCTCACTCCATCACCTTCCCCAAAGCTCCTCTGGCCTTTACCATAATTGTCATGTTCTTGAAAGGTTGACACATCCTAAAAAGCCCTCTGGGACAGCCTCCTCACCTGGCAGATCCCCAATGTAGAGCTGTCCATATTTGGAAACTTCCGAATCTCCCCTTTCCTGTCTCTCTTTTACAAGGATCATCTGCCAAAAATGTAGACAGAAGACCAGGAAAAGAGCCTTTATGAAAGTGAATACGAAGTCTTAGAAATTGATCAGCCCTGAAAGATGTCACAACCTGAACATGTATTAAGATTCCATCTCCCATGAAAAGAAGTAAAAGAGTTACTGATGAGTAAGTAGGATGGCAGTGTCATTTGGGATGGATGTGCCCAAGGTGCCTGTTTCTGGTTCAGTCACTCATGTCTTGTTTAATATCTCCCAGTAAGGTCTCCAGATCCAAACAAGCATGGGACTAGGTAACTCTTTTTGTGACCATAAAAGGAAAAGCGCAGATATTTACAATATTGAAAACTAGAGCTAATCCACAGTTTGTTCTAAGTGTGGAGAAAGATTAGTAACTGTACAGATATAGGGAAAAAACTCTTTGGATCTGGGATTAATTGTATATTTTCTAAGCTACATTTTACCTTGATGCACTATAATTACATTCACATGAGAGGCAGATAAATTATACATTTTCCTTTTTACATTTACAAATTTCATGCCCATATTTTTAAAACATTGTAACATATGCATAACATAAAATTTACCACTTTAACCACTTTTATTTGTACATATCAGTGGCATTAAGCACATTCACATTGTTGTTCAACTATAATCACACTCCATCTCTAGAATTTTTTCATTTTCCTGAACTGAAACTCTAGTCATTCATTCAAAACTAACTCCTCATTCTCCTGTCCCCCTTGTCCTTTGGCCATCATCATTCTGATTTTTGTCTTTACAAATTTGACTACTCTAAGTACCTCATATAAGTGGAATCACACAGTCCTTTCATAAGATTTCACTTAGCATGATGTCTTCATGGCTCATGCATGTTGTAGCACACAATAGAATTTCAATATTCCATTGCATGAATATATCACATTTCTTTTATCCACTCATCCACCAATGGTTCACTTTTTGCTATTCTGAATAAAGCCACAGTAATCATTGCTATGCAAGTATCTATTTGAGTCTGTGTTATTAATTCATTTGGATATATACTTAGAACTGAAATTCTTGGATCATATGATAACTGTGTTGCCCAGTCTAGAGTACAGTGGCACAATCATAGTTCACTGCAACTTTGAACTCCTGGGCTCAAGCGATCCTCTTGCTTCAGCTTCCTGAGTAGCTAGGACTACAGGCAAGTGCTGATGTGGCCAGCTAATTTTAAAAAACATTTTTTTAGAGATGGCGTTTCACTATGTTCCCCAGGCTGGTCTCAAACTCCTGGCCTCAAGCAATTTTCCAACATCAGCCTCCCAAAGCGTTGAGATTACAGGCATGAGCCACCGCACCTAGTCAATAATTCTATTTTTAATTTCAAGCAATCACCAACCTGTTTTCCATTGTGGCTATACTATTTTATGTCCCCACCAGCAATGCACAAGAGTTTCAGTTTCTCTACATTCTTATCAACACTTATTATTTTCCTTTTTTTTTTTTTTTTTAATAATAGCCATCCTAATGGGTATAAAGCGGTATCTCATTCTGGTTTATTTGCATTTTTCTAATGATTAGTGATATTGAGAATCTTTTCATTTACTTATTGGCCATGTTTATATTTTATTTGAAGAAATGTCAATTCAGTTCCTTTGCTCATTTTTGAATTGGGTTGTTAGGTTTTTGTTGTTGAATTATAGGAGTTATTTATAGATTTTGGATATTAATCCCTTATCAACTATGATTTGCAAATATACAAGGGATGTCTGGAAAGTATCCAGCCATGAACATCCTTCGTATTCTGTTGTTCTATATATTGCCTTTTTACTCTGATTATAGTATTCTTTCATGAACAAAATTTTTAATTTTGATGAATTCCAGTTTATCTGGCTTTTTTTGTTGCCTATGCTTTTTATGTCATATGCAAGAAATCATTGCCAAATTCAAAGTCATGAAACTATTCCCCTATGTTTTCTTTTAAGAGTGTTACAGTTCGACCTCCTAAGGTTTTGTCTTTGATCCATTTTTAGTTAATTTTTATATAAAGTAAGGATCTAACTGCATTTTTTTACATCATGCTGATCATTTGAGTTATGATAGCATGGTGTTAATTTCAGTGTTAGTATCTTCATTTTATTCACAGGAACACAGAGACTTGGAGTAGTAAATGCCTCATCCTTAGTCCCTGAACTATATACTAATAGTGATGGTTGAAACACAGTTCTCTTTATTCTAGTATTCCACAGAGAAATAGCCCAAACACATGTAATGAAGTTAAGACAGCACAGGCCACAGGTAAATAATTTGCATTTTTTGTCTTATAAAGTATATTCTTGTAATAAGAGTCTACTAATAATGCATATAATACCCATTGCTTGTTATAGGTGCTTATGTTCATATTTTAATATTTGCAACCAAATAGGGTCATTGAAGCAAAATTAACTGGTGGATTTGTCAACAACCTACAATAGTCACTATCCCTTGATTGTTAGAGTATAGGCAAAGTAGAATGAAAATGGCTAGGGAGAAATTACCACTGCCAGGAATATCTCCAGAGGTTGGCAAGTCACCCATTCCACTACACACAGTCACTTACTTGTCTGGAGCTCTTTAGTGGCAAAGCCTGTACATGCTGTGTCATTCTCTCATTCAATATTCATTTAATGAGTGAGGACTATGCACTAGTGGGTGCTCTGAGCACCAAGAGGAGGAAGATAGTGTTTCTGAACTTGGGAGCTCAAAATCTTGAATGGGAATTATGTCCACTCTGGGAGTTAGTTTTGGGCATGGGCTGGGGAAGCACTGAGAAGCCTTACCTAACCCCCACCTCGAGGACAAGAATCAGAGAACCCTTTGTGGAGAAGGCAGCAGCCCAATTGAGACTCTTAAGGATTAATAAGGAAATAAGGAGAGTATTTCTTGTGTGGCGTTTATGTGGGTTGGAGACTTGTATATATTATAAATAATCCCATATTATCCTTACAATAACCCTTTAGAATAGGTTCTCTTGTTATTCCAGTTTTATAGATGAGGATACTAACTTATGCTAGAGTTGCAGCTAGTGTGATCTACAGTCAGGAAGGAAGAGAAAGGCATAGCAGGTGAGTGAGCAGATTGGGCTGATACCTGGGGACCAGGGAGAGCATGCCCCTGTCTGTGGAACAGGGAGTTCTTTCATCCAGAGAACAGAGGGTGTGAATTGGCTGTGCAGGTCATGATGGGGCAGTGTTCTGATTTTAGGCATTTGGGTTTTATGCTTTAGGTAGGAGACACTTTGGGCTCAGTGGATGTCTGTCAGGGACATGAAACTCCTAGGAAGTGTTTGTGAAATGCTGGAGGAATACTCTTGTGTGCATTTCTTTGGCTGTAAGATCATAGTTTTTATGAGATTTCCATCAGATTAAAAAGTTAATAGACTCAGTGCATGAAGAAAAATCACTGAAGAACCTTCCTCAGGGGGACAGCCTTACACAAACTTCCCTGGTGGCCAAAGGGAGCAGGAAGGTCAAGGCAGGATGGTCTTTCACTACTCCAGTGTGGTAACAGGGTCTAGCCACCCCCCTTAAATGTAGACCTCCTCTCTGGACATGAAGTTCCATGCAGGAAGACACTGGTGTTGTCATATGCCCTATACGTGTGACCCAGAGCCTGGCAAAGTGGTAGACATTTGATTACAATTTGCTGAATCAAGTGGATAAATATGTCTGTGATACCTGGATACTTCAATGAAGGTAACAATTAAGGAATGAAAACGAATAAGCAAGTCAGGGACTGAAGATACTTAAATAAAGTAAGAAAATCAAAGAGCCAAGTGGAGGATGGAGCCCAAAGTCATTAGAAACCAGCAATATTTGTTTCCTAGCCACTGCTTTTCTCAAAACAAACACTTAATGGCCATTCAAATATTCCACGTGTGCAGGACAAAATATGAACAATTTGTAATAAATTAACAGAGAGGAAAGAACACGAAATTTGATGGCAAAAACCTTGGAGTTAAGCCTACTCTCGTGCTTGGTTGGGACAGCCCACTTCAAGGCTCAGGGACTCAAGTGTCCCTCAAGAAAAACAAACAAACAAACAAACAAACAAACAAAAAAACAGGAAAACAATCCCAGCCTACTTACAAGGTGACTGCCTGGATAAAAGGAGATATGGCTGCAAACAGGAATTGTTAACTGGAAAGCTTCCATAAATTTGCTTAGGAATACAAACACGTCTGGAGTAAGCTGGCCATGTGGCACTCAAAACAAAAGTGTTTTTCTCCAGCTAGTAGACCAAGAAGTAGAGAATGTTGCCTTGAGCACAGCTAAAAGATAGGCTGTTGATATACTACTAATAATATAAAGTGCACACTCAAAAGAATTGCCTATTGGGCCATCCCAAAAGAACACTTTGTTTTCCTTTATTTATTAATAGCTCTTGTCGCTTCTTCTCTTGTCGTGCAGACATGTGCCTCTTGGGATGCTTTCAAACTTCATTCTGCTGCCGGGCATTGTTTGCAGAGAAAAAAATAACTTTTTAGATGTCACATATGAAAGAAATAAAAGATCATGTTCTACATCCTTATTCTAATTTCTGCTGCAAATCAGCCGGGCTGTTTACATGGGTGAGTGTGAACTTTCCAACAGAGAAACACGATGGGATTATTCCCACTTTGCAGCATTGAGGGCCAGATGGACCAACACTTGGAAGCAAGTTGTAGTTTTCCTTGTCTAGTGTAAAGGAAATTTGAGGGCCTGGAATCAGTAGGTGCCCAATAAATAATTAACCTCTTAGTAATAATTGAATTAAATTGTTAGTACAAACAGGGAGTAAGATAAAGATCAGAGGTAAAATCACCAATTTCTGCCTTTCTAAATACCCCCTCCAACATGAATCTCATGCATGTATTTGGTAAATAGTTATCAAGCTATCAAACCCGTGCTGAGAGTGTGTTAAGAGTGGGGTCTCCAAATGCATAAAATGCTGTCACTGTCAGTGAGGAGCCTGCAGGCAGATGAGCAGCAGAATTAGATGGGGAAGCTCAGATCAGACCGTCTAGGTATAAAGGTGGGCCTGACCAGCACACAGAAACAGCACGGAGAAGGACGCAGCCTGATGTTTTGGAGTGCGTTGAGGGTCTCTCAGAGAACAGTTACACGAGCTGGGTTTGACAGATGATGTTTTAATCGTACCCAGGTTTTGTTTTAATTGGGTAGGACAAGGCATTCAAACACAGAAATGACTGTCATAAAGGAAGAAATGTATACTCACAGTTCCCTAAACAGAGGAGGTGTGGCGCACCAGGAGGGCACACAGGAAGTGCCCGGAGCAAGGGGAGTGTGGAGGAGTGAGGGAACCAGTGGGGCCTGCACTGTTGCTTTGGAGGGAGGGAGCGGGTGAGGCAGAGAGAGCAGGTGTAAGATTGGCAGCCTTGGGTAATCTCCGTGGGCTCTGGCATAAGACGGGGCTTGTCCCTGGCTGCCTACCACCTGGCCCTGCAGGGATTAAGGAAGGCCAGTGGTGGCCCTGCGTGGGAGAGCCCTGTAGAGGAAGCAGGGGTGTGGGGTGACGGGAAGGGAAGGCCCAGGGAAGCTGGAGCCTGCAGGAAGGAAGAGGGCGGAATGCGGGAAGTCTTCCGTTGAAAGGGAAGAAGGGAAGACTAAAGGTAGGAGAATGAAAAATGGAAGCTCATAAATTGGGGGTTGGAGGAATTCACCTTGAAATGCCACCTATGTCATTGACACCCAGAGTTACTTAATTCTTAATTTTCTAAGCCTCAGTTTCCTTATCTGACCAAACAGAGATAATCACATGACATGTGTTAATTCCTGTCCACTCCCGGCATCCTTAGCTTCTGTGTGCTCTCCTGTGATCAGCCAGGTGTGACCTGTCCAGAGCATGTAAAGCATTTCACTAGACAGCGTGAGACCCACTTTGCAATTGGGCTTTCCAGAAAGCCATGCATGAACTGACTAATAGCGTCCAGAAGAAAGTACTCCCTGACATGAATGCCACCAAAGACCAGCAAGTCATGACCAAGTTATGTACGCCAGGCATTAAGCATTTGCTTTGCATATGAAAGCTCCAAAAACTTTTGCCATATATAACAAGTCATTCTCTCAAAAATTTCTGCAAGGAGGTTATGATATTACCTGTTTAACAATGAGGAAGCAGAGGCTAAGATAAATTAAGTATGCCCCAATTGCCCCAACCAACTCATCTGTAGCCCCTCTCTGAGCCAGGAATCAGAGACTTCAAGTCTAACGTAACTGCCAGCCCCCAGCCACTGTGTGAACTGTGGGAACAACAAAAGTGCAATTTGTTCTGTAAATGAGGAGAGGAGGGGCCGCAGTGGTTCCATGTGGCATGAGTTTGAAAAGTGTCATGTCTCCTTCCTGACATGCCATGGCCATTAGCATAGTAAAGGCTGACCAATTTTTTTCCATAAGAAAATCACCTTAACTTTGACTGACATAGCATTTCCTAGGATCATCGTGATACTGAAGTTATGTCTTAACATCTGCATTTGGAAAATATCAGTAAGTTGTATTGCCATTACCGTTGCCCTGTTTTTTTAAAAAATGTTATATTCGAACCCCCTCTCCTATCTTAATATTTTTTTATTTCCTACATTTCAACAAATGGATTCCCTTTTCATTCTTAGTTTTTTAAAATTTATAATGAAATGGATACTTTAGCAAAAAAATTTCTTCATAGACTCACTGGATTTGTTCATGTAGAGTATAATAGCAAGGATTTCTCATATGAATATGATATTACTTGGAGTTTGCAAGTAATATTTTTACACAGGAAAAAAGAAAACTTTAAAACTTATATCTGAAGAAAAGCAACAGTGCCTAATATAAGATAAAATATAAAAGTTTGAACAATTATATATTTAAAGAAAGATTCCTATTTAGAGCCAAGGTGAATGTCTGTTTTGGGTTTCTTTCCTTGGAAAGCCCATTTTCCCCAAATGTAGCTTCTATGCTTAAATTCTCATATTTAAATACCACTCAGCAGTATCTGGCCTAAGTGGTTGCAATTCACATTGATATTTTCAATTAATTAATTAATTGACTACATGTACTATGAAATATGTTTTAAAAAGCAGAAGACTCTAATATTAAGTTACTTATTTATTTAAATATGAGTACTTAATAAGGCAGACTTGGAAAAAGAAAGAATATACTTGGTCATTGGGAGACTCAAAGACTACAAACTTGTTTAAATTATCATAAGATACTATTTAGCTAATATTTACTTAAAATATGAGAATCCCCCAAACACATTTTCAACATCTCTAAATTCTTGTATCCTTCTAAATCCTTTCTATTTTATGCATCTTTGGGTTTTTCTCTTTGTCTCTTTGTAGTCTCACTTTCCTGTCTCTATAAATTCTCAGTGTCTCTCTGTTTTGCAGGCTCTGCCCTCCAGCGTGGCGTCACATTCACGTCTGATTTCAGCACTGATTCTGAAGATGCATGTCTGAGTGCGACCCCCCCTAAAGCCAGGAACGTGCTGTCTTGAGCAGTCAGCCTGCGCCTGGTGCCTGGACCCCTTTCCTGGGGGGACGGAGAGCTGCTACATGTTCCAGTGGATTTGTCCTTTCCGAATCAGGTATGCATTCAGCAAATGTTTAAACCAGAGCCTGTTCTGGTGCTTACGACGTATCAGTGAAAAAATCAGGCGAAGATACTTGCCCTGGTGGAGTTTATCATCAGGGTGGGTGTGTAAGAGTGAACAGAGAAAGCAAAGGAGCAAAATATGGCAGTTGAGATGGTGATATGAACTATGGGAGCAGGAAAGGGGGAGGGAGGTAGATGGCCTTTAAAATAGAGTGTCCATTGAAACCTTAAAATCTGTACCCCCATAATATGCTGAAATAAAAAAAAAAATAGAGTGTCCAGAGGAACATGACCTTGAAGCAAGCCGGTGGATAAATGGGAAAAACCCTCTAGGCAGGGGCACGGCTGGCATACAGGCAGGTTTATTGACTAAACTCTGTGATTAATTGAGATATCTTTAGTTTTCCCTTAATTTTGTTCCATCCTGGGGTCTCCTCCTGGAGCCCACATTACATTCGCTTGTCAGTTCTCTTTAAGTGCCTCTTGGCTGTGACCAGATCTCAGACTTTCCTTGCTTTTGATGGCCTTGACAGTTTGAGGAGGACTGGTCAGGCACTCTGTAGAACGTCCCTCAATTGGGACTTGTCTAGTGTTTTTCTCATGATTAGGCTGAGGTTATGGATTTGGGGAAGGAGGACCACAGAGGTCAAGTGCTATTCTCAGCATGACTTGTCAACACGATGTATCCCTGTTGGTGGCAACCTTCATCACCTGGAGGGAGTTTCTTCACTGTAAAGTGACTTTGTTTCCCCTCTTTCAATGCTATGGTTTTTGGAAAGAAGCCACTATGCCCAGCCCACACTTAAGGATAGGGTGCAGCACCTTATACTCTTAAAAGTAAAAAAAAATTAGAAAAATGTTGGGGTTAGATCTATAAGTATTGGGCAGAATCTACTTTAATGCACTGAAAGTAATAGACCCCTGGTATTATTTTGAAATGTTGCCTTCTGGTTTTGGAGGCAGCTCTTGCTGAAAATTCAAAAGGAGAGATGGTGATTTGCACATGATTAACCTTCTCAATAAGGTAATATAAGCCCATCTTCATTGTTAGTGCACAGCTACTCCTAAGCACAAATGCTGCTCTGGGACTCATGCTGTGCTCTTCTACTGATTTTGGGACAGTGACAATTCCTTGCCTGCCTCTGTTGGAGATGTGAGTCCCAGGTGCCTGCTTGGCATTCCCTGGTAAGTCCTCAGCCCTGGGGCTGGGCCTGGGGCAGCTCCTTACAGTCTCTTGCGCTGGCTAGTGAGGGTGGGAGTTGGAGGTCGCTCATGGCCTTTGCTGGCCTGAGGGTGGGGCCGCAGTTTTTCCCTGCTATTTGTCTGGGGTGGTGCAGTTATTGTCTGAAAGTTTTAAATTTTTGTTCTGCTCCTTTCCTAGTCCTTTGGCTAGAGAGCGCAAGCTTTTTCTGGAAATTTTATTTATTTACTCATTTTATCTGTGCCCACTGGCCTTTCCTTGTTGCTCGTAACTTGCCTGCAACCTACAAGACACACACCTACTATTAGGGATAAGTACAGAAAGGAAAATATTCTTTAAATATGTCTGATTACAAGCCTAAGGCTACTAGCAGATGACACTTGTAAAATCTGCACGACAACCACGGAACAAAGTTATGAATCTGAAAGTTTCCCCAGGACACTAGACAATTGCCTACACTAACTACTGGCTACAGGTGGCTACTGGGCCCATGAAATATGACTATGTAACCTGTTAGCTCAAGTTTTAATATTACTTCTTTTAATTTTTTAAATTTAAAGTACATATATTTAATTCAATTATTAGAAAACATTTATGGATCTTTGAAAAACTTGGGCATGTGAATCTACTCTCCAACTGTAACACCCTGGAAGCTCCTCCCTCAGGAAATACTTGGATGAATAAATGAAATCAACAGCAATATCAGTGTCACTAATTCACGATGATTAAAAAAAAAACCCTCTTTTTCAGATTGGAATGCATGGTGGTTTGAAGAGGAAATCCTTTTCATACTTGGAAAACCAATAAAAGCAAGGACTGATGAGATAGAACATCAGAACAAATGAGAGCATGTAGCCTGCAAAGCACAGCGAGGCCTGGTGCTGTGGCATTTGCAAAGGAACAGTCACAGCCCATCGGTCAAGCATGGTCTGTTTTGTCTCTGCGGCAATGACCGCCTTATTTCATGGCTATTTCCTGACTCTTTGGCCAGTGCATTCTCTTTAAAGATATTTAAACAAATACAATCCAGTCCATTCTGCCTTCTCTGAGGAGACGGAGTCAATCTCCCGTCTGAGTCACTAACTGTGGACTACAGATTTCTATCGATCACACTTTCCCCTTCCTAAGTGTGTGTGGCCATCTGATATTCGAGCTTATCACATATTGGTGTTTTATCGCAATTCTTAATCTCTAAACAAGTGTTTAAATGTTTTAAATCATTTTCTAAATAGCGAAAAACATGGTAAGTTTTTTTAAAAAAAACTTTCAATTTCTTACTCACAAAATGTATTTGGTCTCAATGCTGAAAGCTCAAAATCTGTGCCTGTAAGAATCTTTCATTCACAGAGACATTATCATCGAAACATGAAGCCGCAAAGCATTTGACAGAGTGGATGTGGAAGGAGGCCACTCTTATCAGTGTGATGGATGGCTGCATCCTGAGGATAGCGCCCACAGAAGATAAAACCTAAAATACAATAAATATTCACTTGTTTATATTTTTCCCTTCTATAATTACCATAGTGACCTCTTGCCTGGTAAAAGCATCAACAGAGATGGGAGAAGATGGGTCTCAGCTGTGCTCTCAACAGAATCAACACGCAAAAAACTAGTTTTCAGGGTCACTCAAGTTTAACCTATTTATATGAGCTTATTCTTATGTGCCATTATTGAATTAAATAAACATGATTTAGCACTGGAGGAATGAGAAAAAGCAAACTGCATAGCCCTGACAGAGAAATTCCTATCTAGCTTTTTTTTTTTTTAGCAATTTCTAGCATTTTGAATAGCTAGAAATTTAATATTTATATTTAATATTTGTTCTTGTTCTTGTTCTCTATTTAGTATTTGTTCTTGTATATTTTTTTGTATTCTTATTCTCAGTAATCATTCTGGATGGATGTGATTTTAAACACCTAATAGTTTCAACTCCTAATGGGCTGTGTGACCTTCTGCCAGTGACTCGACCTTCCTGGACATCAGTTGAACCCTATATTTTGTGAGGTCTTAACCATGTAAATATGATTTTATTCTTTTATGGGTGCTCTGACATCTTTCATGCTTTCATATCTTCAATAATTGTATGTCTAACCTTCTCTGTAATATTTGCTCAAATAATACAACGGTGGTCCTCTGGCTTGAGTGTGCGTCAGAATGAGCTGGAAGGCTGGCTACAACACAGACTGCCAGGCTCTGCCCTGGGGTTCTGACTCACGGGCTTTGGGGTGTGGCCTGAAAACTCGCCTTTCTAACCAGCTCCCAGGTGATGTGACATTGCTCATGTGGCTACCGCAGTTTGTCACAACAATTTAGATGTTTTCTCAGGGTGCAGGATACAGAGCTTGAAAGCTGTTTGGATGCCAGTCTTCCATCTTCTCAGCTTTTAATTGCTGCCTGGGTTACCTCTGCTGTCAGAATGAGGTGATGTATCTGGAGAGTTTTCAGACTGTAAGAGCAAGTGATATGCATGGAAGGGAACTCAACTATCTGCAGTGTTTGCCTGTGTTTTTATAATTTAGAGTCATCCTGCAAAGCATCCTTGTACAACTAGTGTTACAGCTCTTGACCGGGGAAAGAACCTAGCGGCACATCAGAGAACAGTCTTTATTCAGCCAGCAGGCTCAACCCAGCAAGCCTTGTAGCTCTCTTCCCATCTTCTGATCTTTCTGACCCTCCTTCCTTGTTCTCCTCTTGCTTTTATACTCTTGGTAGGGCTCAAAAAGTGTCCAATCAACTACAAGCTTTAACATCCAATCAGCAGCAACAAGCTTTAACATCCAATCAGCAACAGTGGGATTCAAAAATTACCCAATCAGGATCACGTGATCAGTGTAGCCAGATGACAGGAGGCAGACAGCGAGCCTGGATGGGCCCTGACAGCAGACTTGGGCCCACTGGGCGACAGCACGAGATGCCCGGCACCAGCAGTGCACACCCGCCAGCCAGCCCCACACAGCACCGTCCCTCGGGGAGGCGCAGTGGCAGGGAGGCGGCAAGCCCCCCCATCCTGGCGCTTGATGCTTTCCCTGTCATCCTCATTCCTAATTTCCTTTCCTCTTTGGTTTCACGCTTCTTGGGAGCCTGGTGTAAAGCAAACGATTCCTCTTTTAGCTCAGATGTGTTCTCTATTGACTGAGGGGCTGTGGACGCCTTATCTCAGGTCTCCAACTGGAAGAATCCCTTAGAAAACCTCAGTGGCTGGTAAAGAAGCCTAGCTTGGATTGTGCAAGTCCTGAATTATGTTGCAGGCTCACAGGAGTTTGTTTAGAAGTTTTATTTTTAGATATAAATTTCTGTCACATAAATTCTTCTCAACATAGAATGTGTAATTCATCCATCCTTCCACTGACTCATGCACTTATTTATGTATTAATTTATTTAAGAAATGTTATCTATTTACATGCAACTGTGTTTAGGGTTTTTTTTCATTATTAGTGGAAAACTTCACATTTAGTCTTATTAGATTTAATTGCATTTTTATCTTTTCTCTAATCCAATGACTTGACCTTTGAAGCTGGATGATCTTTTATTAAATCTTTCTCTCTCACTAGTGTGTTACCTGAAATTTAGCAATAGGTCTTCTTCTGTACTTCCTCCAAGGATAAAAATATTTCAAGGGGGATCTGAGCAATTGCCAAGCTTCAGTGTGGTGGATAGCACCTGCCTTCCACCATCATCATCCTTGTATGGTTTATTATCTTAACAGGCATAAAAGAAAATAATTAATCTAGCATCCTGCCCATTTTATCTCTAAGATGTTCCAAAAATCCGTGTTTAAAACCTGTAGAATGAATGATTCAGTATCTATGACAGTTCCTTGATGTACCAGCTCAGAAAGCACAGTTACATTTTTCTGTCTCACTAATATTAATATTACTAGTTAATTTGTGCAAGGTGTTGGTGATCATTATAATATAATTTTTTTCTGTCTAAACCAAGCAACGTGATGATCCCATCCTAAATTTTGCCAGGTACCAATGTAAAAATTCCCAGCTGACAGATGACAGTAGGCAACATTCCCTTTTGGAAAATTTCACTTAATTCATGAGAGGTTCCTAGTGCTGGTTTTACTCTATAACGTTAGCCAGGATGAAAAGAGTAACAACAACATTTATCAGTATGTGCTTTCAAATTTCTGAAACATTTACAGATACTATCACGATCATTCCTCTTCAAAGAGTAGTGAGTTTGATATCTTTTCTGATTTTGCCCCAGAGTAAGTGAAATAAATTTGAGCTTTAGGTACTTGGCTACTAATCAGATTGTTTTTTGTTTTGTTCTTTTTTAAAAAATCACAGATGTTTATTATTTATTTCATCATTTTGCCAAACCAATTTTTCCTTAAAACCAAGATCTATTCCCTTGGTCTAAAATAAAAATAAAAATAAAACAAGTAGTATCATTTTATATAAATAATGGATCTGGAATGGTTAAGATTGGAATTCTTGCCAGAATCATAAATCACCGATAGAAAATAATAGTCTTTTTATTACTTTAAAAATTAAACTAGCACTGAAGCTATTTACATATTAATAAAAGTGAGTTTGGAAGGATTGAAGTTTATTTCAGATAAACATCTTTTATTTTTATTTTTTATTTTTATGCAGAACCATGCGGTCCACGGAATGAGGCTCACAGTCTGATCAGTGCGGGTTTCCCATAAAACCGGCTCTTCCCGTCCACGCAGCACGGAATCTGCAGGCGCTCGCACTGCGGCTGCGCGGCGCTGCCCGGCCTTCTGCAGGGCTCAGAGGAGCTCGCCGTAGGGAAGGAAAGGTCGAGTGGTTTTTAATCTCTCATTGCTGAAATCCAGGACATGGGATGTGTACAAATCAGCAGTGTCATAAAACTGTTTGTGTGACTCCGCGTGGCATGTACGTTTATATCAAATGTGCAACTTGGATTTGTTTTCTGCACAAAGTGCTTATCATTTCTTGAATTACAGAGCTATCAGAAGGAATAGAACGCTCCTTGCCTGGTTGTTCTCCTGTGTATCAGCGTCAGGGGCAACTTTCACTCAGGCCCTTTCCATTCCTCCGTCTGACTGTGCTCTGAGCACACCTCCAAGCCCGAGTCCCGGTGGTGGCTGTCTCCCACCAGTCGCGCTGGGACAAGCTGTCGACATGCCCTAGCTAAGGAGACGCTTCACGTCTTTCCCATCCCCTTCACGGGCTTTAGTTCTTGGTTGTGGAAGTCCTCTGACGAGATCCAGTTTGCTCCTTTCAGACGGAAGGACGGAGGGAAGACATTTCAGTTCCTGAAGAAAGTACACGATCCAACCACAAATCCAACCGGCTTTAACATTGTTGATTCCTTTCACCACTTACATAGGTTTCCAAAATAATTTTAGTTTCTTCCTTTGCAAACAAGTAGCAATTATAGACAATTAAAGAACACATAGGTTCAGCAATCAATTTCAAAGAAGAAAGATCATCATTCTCAAAACAAAAACGGATACTAGTAAAGAAAGCTCTGAAAATTAGTTCAACACTGCAATATGAATTGTGGGACAGAAAGCACTGAAATTTTAAAATGCTAGTAAAAGATTTAAAAGTAAATACCTATGTTACTACTTAAAAAATATAATATGTATATATAAGAAATTCAAATTTCAAATTGCTATGCAACATGTGACCAAGTAAAGTTTTTATTTTTTGGTTATTGTTGTTTGTTTTGTTTTCTTCCCCCAGCAGCAACTATCTCTGCAATGTCTATGCGGCAAATGGGAATGACCCCAAGCACTTATTTGGCCCTTAATCGAACTTCATGATTCAGAGTTGCTACGAACCTAAGCATCTCTTAAAAACTCTGAGTCTCACCTAAGGTGCAGATGAGCACCTTAGGAAAGGAGAAGGAGAAGGAGAAGGAAAGTCCCAGCCTCCAGGAGGTCCCCACAGCAGCCCCTGGGAGGCTCAGGGCCAAGGAACCTGAGGGCCTCAGGAAGCAAGGACAAGGCTGCCTCCGTGAACAGCTCCACTGGTTATAGTGCAAATAGCTTCTCTCCCCATCACTCCTGCTGCTGACTTGCTCTATTTAATATACGTGCATTTAGACACATTGCTGGTGAAATTGTTTCCAGTTAAAGTTTTGTATGTGGAAAAATGCAAAACAACAACTTTTATTCAAAAGCAACAAAAGGCCGGGCCCGGTGGCTCACACCTGTAATCCTAGCTCTCTGGGAGGCCGAGGCGGGTGGATTGCTCGAGGTCAGGAGTTCAAAACCAGCCTGAGCAAGAGCGAGACCCCGTCTCTACTATAAATAGAAAGAAACTAATTGGCCAACTAATATACATAGAAAAAATTAGCGGGTATGGTGGCTCATGCCTGTAGTCCCAGCTACTTGGGAGGCTGAGACAGAAGGATCGCTTGAGCCCAGGAGTTTGAGGTTGCTGTGAGCTAGGCTGACGCCATGGCACTCACTCTAGCCTAGGCAACAAAGTGAGACACCGTCTCAAAAAAAAAAAAAAAAAGCAACATCTTGTGTTGCCTATTCTGACTGCAACTTTTAGATTACATGCTGTGTATTCCATGCAAACTGAAATCTCCCTTTGATGAAATCATATGTAAATTAGCCAGTGTAGATAAATATAAGGTGCAAAAAAGCTTAAAAATTAGAAGTGATAGCTTCCATAGTATCAGTAATTTTAGTAAGAAAAACCCACAAATAATCAGTGGTACATTTAGCTAGCCAAGAGGTGAGGGAGTTCTCTGAAACCTCTTTTATAAGGACACTAATCCCATTCATGAGAGTTCCACTCTCATGACAAAATCATCTCCCATCTCCTAATATAATCACCTTGAAATAAAATTTAACATGAATTTTGAGGAAATATAAACATTCAGTCAATAGCAGTTAATAAAGTGGCTTTATTCACAATGTGGCTGCTAGGCCAGTGCCAGGCTGTTGTAAAATAAGTACCAGCACTGAGAGTCCTGGAGAGTAGATGCTGGAAGCTTAACCATTTGACCTTGCTGTGACATTCACATGCACAACCCAGAAACTTGACTCATCAGATTACAGAGAGATTTGAGTGTGTGGAACTCAAATGAGCAGTCTCCAATGAACTGTGTGCTGCTCAGACAGACTAGGACCTCATACTGGCTTGCGAATTATTAATAATTAAAAACAAAAATAAAGCCAATGGGTCCTTCACTAAGTGAGTTTGAGAAATGCTTTCTTAGCAGTGGAAGTCCAACAGTGATCCCTAGAGATGGAGTGAGATCATCATCCATGTTCTTAGAAAGAGAGGTTCTGGAGCTGCTGCTGGACACTGGGTTGGCAAGAAATGCAGAGGACAGGTGGGGTGCCCAGGTAGAGCTATTATAGATGGCTCATGTCCCCCTCAGATGTGAGAGGTGACAGAGCCAGGAACATCACGGTAGAGATGGGGTGAAACAGAAAGATTAGCCAAAAAAATAATAAATAAATAAGAAAAAGAATCAATGCTTCCCTGATTAACTGCATAGGTAGCAGGAAAGAAAAATATTGTTTTACATGATGTGTATTTTTTTCCTTGCTAACTCAAAAATATTCCTTGAATTCTCACTTATGTTCACTTTGTTGCAGTGTGTTCTGTTTTATTTGTATTTGCATATTTTTATCTTTACTCTAATTAACATGATCATGTCTCTAAATTCATAATAATTGGTTGAAATTTCCATACTTTCATTCGCTCAAAGAAGGTTCCCCTAAATCTAAATTGATAGCTAAATATCTGACATATACTGGAAGAAAACTGACAGGGATATATGCTGGAAAAAGTGGGAGGTGTCGAATTTCATCTGAGGGTGTATGAACTAAATCACCTTTTCCCCGATAATATGTCAAAACTGCATATTCAAAAAAATAGTTTGGGGACCACTGAAATTGAAAATCATTCTTAAATTTACAGGACAAAATTAATTTTTGCATGCTTAGAATTTACTCCAACTCTATTCTGGCATGAACTTTTACAATTTACTCTAAAAATCACATTGCACCTACTTTATTTTGTTTTTGTTCTGTGAGGTTTATAATACCCTTTGGCTAAAGGTAATACACTTTTGCCCCAAACTAGATTTTTTTCCTATCTTGACTCTGATTCTCCACAAGGAATTGCCATACCCCCAAATAAAAAGAAAAAACTTTTTTATAAAGGGATCCCCAAAGGCATTACATTGCTAAAATAAGCATTACATCTTTAACTATAAAGATGTAGCCAGCACCCGCTGTGTCAGGGACAGGGATAGGATGATCGAGGGGTGTGGATGAGTTAAGAGTGGGCCAGGAAAAGTACATGGCAGGCTCCCTTCATGCTAGAAGTGGGGGGGAATTGAGGTAGGTAAGTCATGAAAACAAACTACAGTCTGAGGCATTTAGTAAGTGTCAATGATCATGAACAGTAATTGGAGCTATTCTTAATTGAGTGCTACGTACTAGGCACTGAGCTCAGTACCTTACATGCATCATCTCGAGCAATCCTTGCAACAGTCCAAGAAATAAATAGTATTACCCCACTTTTACAGAGGCAGGAACTGAGGCTTAGGGAGAGAGAAACATACCCATAGTCCCAGAGCTTTAACTAAGAGCTCATCTGTCAATATTAACAATAACTACTCAAATCCCTTCAGGTGTCATGTTTTTCCACGCTCCCTTGCTTCTTCTGAATCTAATTCTGTCTTCTGCTTAGGGGACTGCCCATTCAACCCTCAGCTCAGCTCAAGCTCCAACTCCTTTCTCAACCTTAATACTTTTTATTTTATGAAAATGGAAGCTATTTGATAGCAGAGATTATATCTAAGATATTTTCAGAGAGTCAGGACAGCAAAAAATAATTCTCAATAAATATTTAATAAAGAAATACACATTTAATCCTAAAAAATAAAAAGAATAGTTTGAGAATGTTTAATAAAAAATGTTTTTTTTTTTTTTTTTTTTTTTTTTTTTTTTTTTTGAGACAGAGTCTCGCTTTGTTGTCCAGGCTAGAGTGAGTGCCGTGGCGTCAGCCTAGCTCACAGCAACCTCAAACTCCTGGGCTCGAGCGATCCTACTGCCTCGGCCTCCCGAGTAGCTGGGACTACAGACATGCGCCACCATGCCCGGCTAATTTTTTATATACATATCAGTTGGCCAATTAATTTCTTTCTATTTATAGTAGAGACGGGGTCTCGCTCTTGCTCAGGCTGGTTTTGAACTCCTGACCTTGAGCAATCCGCCCACCTCGGCCTCCCAGAGAGCTAGGATTACAGGCGTGAGCCACCACGCCCGGCCAAAAATGTTTTTTTCTTATAACTGAAATGGTATGATTTACAGTGAAAGAATGGTTTACTATCATCAAGAATTTTTGTATAAACAAACCTAGTAAGATGTACATGACAAGACACTTCCAGTTTTTCCAATATGGCAGGTTAGAAAAAAGTGAAATAATTTCACTACAAACATCTAGAAGTCAGGAATAAAATACTACTAACATTGTTTTACATGGATATCTGAACTGGCAAGAAGGAAAGGGAAATCTCCAGATACAGTAAACTAAAAGGAATTAAATAAAAGACCGTAAACTAATGTTGGGATTATTTTGAGAAGGAATAGAGGCAGGGGGCAGGTATAGGGATGAGCTTGTACCTAATGTTTGAAATTAAAAACAATAGTAAAATAAATTATTGAAAGAAATTAAAGAAGATAAAAATAAAGTGAAACGACATCCAAGGCCATCTATCAGAAGATTTAATATTGTTTAGATGGCAATATTTTCTAAATTGTTCTAAAAATGGAACACAGCCCCTACCAAACCCCAGATGCCTATTTTTTCCCCAAAAATTGGCCAGATAATTCTAAAATTCATGTTTAACAACTGGTAGAAGAAAAATAATTTGGTATATTTATATAATTAAATATTATTATAAAATAAAAAGAAATAAAATACTGACGTGTCAACATGGATGAACTGCAAAACATTATGCTTAGTACAAAAAGCCTAATGACTTAGTACAAAAAGCCTAGTGACTCCTGTTGGTCTGAAATAAAACATAATTTATGATAAAATTTAAAAATCTAAAGGAAGCATCCAACAATTAATCAGAGAATAAGAGACCAACCTTGTTTTATCAAACTTTCTGATGAAATTATTGACTTGGAGCTGATTTCAAAGAGGTAATTATGATATATAACTAATTTTACTGTGACACTCTCATTTTTGTGCTATAATCTTCAAATAACATTCTCTCCCGCTAACTCCTGGTAACAAAATTTGTTTTAATAAACTTGAATTAACAAACCTTAAGTTCTGCAACAAGTGGTAAGTCTGGGAATCTTCGTGGGATCTCTGAACATTGTGCATTTAGTACTTTTGCAGATGTACTTGGTAAGAAAATAACTAATTTAAGTGAGCTATTCCCAAAGTAGTAACAAGGTGGTGGCTGGGTCCTCTGCTCAAGATGACTGAGTCTTTGGTCTTGGTTTCACAAATAATCAACTGAGTGATTTTCATTACATGAAATTATTTTCTTTTCAGTTTGAGTTACATATATGGTCT